AACCCTAAACCCCCCCCCCCCAAAACGATTTCAATTCACCGTAAATCAAACATGCATGTCGTTTTAGGGTTCTAAATCGATCCCCCTATATCAATTTAGAACACTAACCCAAAAGCCCCAAATCGATTTCAGATTTGGAAACAAGAGAAAACGATTTCGATCCCAAATAAAAGAGGAACAGACCCTGAATCTATTCGACACTGACCTGAGCAAGATGAGTACACGGAGAGTCGTCGATTTGATGGAGAAATCGGAAGAGGAGCCGTCGCACCAAAATCGCCTTCGAAGAGAGCAAACCCTAATTTCGCGAACAAGAGGAGAAAATGATTTTCATTTCTCGTTTCCGTGTTTTCGAACATAATCAACGGCCCACCCGTTGCGCGACACGTGGAATGAGACGGGCTCACACGAGTTCTCTCGAGAGACCTGGGTCACCAAATAAAGCCCAATTTTGATTTATTTTTGGTCCAATAAATCCATGACCCTTACCCAATGAACCCCATATAAACCTCTACTGTGGGTGCTTTTAGTCACTTGTTTCCTTGATGACACATGGCTGAAAATCCGGTTAATTATTTTTAAAATCAATTAATTATTACATAAATCCGATTTAAACAATTAAACATTAGATTTAGAAGACGAATGTTTGGGGAATAAAATAAGCTTATTCGCCTAGAAAGATAAGACACCTTCTCTATGTATTTATACGAACCTACAAACTCTCTCTTAGACATGTTTACTCATGTGGGACAATTGCAAGTTAGTTTTGAATTTTTTTTCCAACTCACTAACAAAAACAAAAAAAGTGTTGTGTCCCAAAAGTATTGTACCTAACACCTCTTTCAATAATAAATGCTTCACAAACCACTGTGCTATGTCACCTATACATTTAACATTCACATATATTGATTCATATATATATACGTATCTTTGTAATTAAAAAGTATAAAAATTAGTCCCCATCTATAGCTGATTAATCCTTTTTTTTGGTATTTCGCTAGGTCCGGACTTCCCGTATGACTAGTACATAGCATAGTTCCGAACATAAAGTAGTACTCCCTCCGTTTCACAATATTGGATGTTTTATCGAAAGCACAAGAATTAAGAAACTTAACTTTTCAAAAGATAACATCATTGATAGTATAATTTAAAATAAATGAACCAATCATAAATAATAAATCAAAATACTATTGGTCAACCGATTTTCTATAAAGTTAAAATACCTTAAAAATATCAAAACATCTTATATTTTGAAACATCAATTTCTCTAGAATATCTTATATTATGGAACAGGGGGAGTACTAATGTGAAGCTAAAAGGAATTATAAGAGACGTGGCAATGGGACCCACAGGATACACTCTTCATCTATACTATTAAAGCAGAATCCCTACTAGGATTCTGCCCATAGATTTTTGAGTTATTTACAAAGATATACCACTAACATTTTCAATATAATTATTATTTATTTAAACTAAACAACTAAATATTTCCTATATTTATGGTAACTAATAATTCTCTGATTTTGTGCTTAATAATAACTTTATATTTATGCAATTTGTATTTTTGATCTCCTATTTTCGTGTATAATATCATTTAGTGATCGAAAATTAAAAATTATTATTTACTAATTCATAATATTGATATGTCCATTCAATGTTTTTATAAATTACATTTTCGAAATATAAATAAGTAAAAATGTAAAGTTATCATAGGTTATTAATAACAAAAAGAATCTAATACTGTTATATGAATAAATTATTTTCTATTACCATTGTTTCATTTTTTTCAAATGACAAAAATTCTTTAAAGTTTAAGAAATTACAGAAAAAAAAACAATTTTCTTTAATATTAAAAATATGTGTTATTTAACTAAAGGTTTTTTAAAAATGTTCAGTTTTTATGGAAATTTTAGCGGATCTATATATATTATATTGCGGGATATTTACCAGTTTTATCAATTTTATAATTAATAAAATTTCATTAAATCTTAACCGAATATATAAATAAGTAAAAATGTAAAGTTATCATAGGTTATTAATCACAAAAAAACTAATATTGTTATATGAATAAATGTTTTTCTATTACCATTGTTTCATTTTTTGAAATGACAAAAATTCTTTAAAGTTTAAGAAATTACAAAAAAAAAACAATTTTCTTTAATATTAAAAATATGTGTCATAATATTGATATGCCCATTCAATTTTTTATAAATTACATTTTCGATATATAAATAAGTAAAAATGTAAAGTTATCATAGGTTATTAATAACAAAAATAAACTAATATTGTTATATGAAGAATTTTTTTTCTATTACCATTGTTTCATTTTTTTCAAATGACAAAAATTCTTTAAAGGTTAAGAAATTACAAAAAAAAAAACAATTTTCTTTAATTTTAAAAATATGTGTTATTTAACTAAAGGTTTTTAAAAAATGTTATCAGTTTTATGGGAATTTTAGCGGATCTACAGATATTATACTGCGGATATTTACCAGTTTTATCAATTTTTTAATTAATAAAATTTCATTAAATCTTAACCGAATTATACAATTGTCGAAACTATGGGTATGAATCAGATATGGAAACACACAATACGTGAAAATCAAACAATATAATAGAACATTTTCATATTGACAGAACAACTTTGATTTTTTGTTAAAATAAAATGTATTAATTCAAATAAATTTTATTAAAAAGATAACATAAATCCGCGCTTTTAAAGCGCGGGTCAAAATCCTAGTTCAACTTTAAACCTTAAGCACCTAATCCCCGTTTCTCCAATTGGAGTCTCACATGTGTCAATTCAAATATCCGAAACCTCCAAAAATAAGCAAATATCCACCCATGTGTTTCTCCATGCTTTTCGAATGGCTTGTGTCTCCATGCTCTGTTCTAGTTTTATCACTTCATCGGCAACTCCACTCTCTGCGAAACATCAATATCCAATTATCATTTTAACAAAATAATTAAAATCAAGTGCAATTATGAAATCAATAATTAAGACAAACTAAAAGAACCACGAAGTATATAAGATACATGTTGCTTGGGTTTTTGAGGCTAGAAATGTTTTACTTATCAACAATTATCTAAACAAAGAGACTAAAATTTTATCTAAAACAAACATCACAAAATGTTTTACTTGACGAAATCAGAACATGAGCCACTCATTACACACCACATCCTCAAAACATAACTCATCTGCCATTTGTTTCCTATAGACCCATTTGCCTCCTCTCATTTGTTTCCAACATCTTTCCATCACCACACAAAAATCGTTACCCATATCTCTTTCATTCTATCCTGATCCTCATCATCACTCAACCAAAGTTCTCCCAAAACAAAATAGAGCAGAGAGCTTAGGAAGAGGAACCAAACATCAACAACAATGGCTGTCTCAACGATCTACTCAACACAAGCTCTCAATTCAACTCACTTCTTAACATCTTCCTCATCCTCAAAACAAGTCTTCTTCTACCGTCGTCATCAACCCCAAACCAACCGTAGCTTCAACACAACCATCACTTGCGCCGCACAACAAACCGTCGTGATCGGTCTCGCTGCCGACTCCGGATGCGGCAAA